AATTCAGTGACCATTTTATTCGCGTAAAGAGCACTATTATTTTTAGGGGCCAGGTTTCCATCTTTTAAGTGAGGGCATTTATCATTATCACTGGAGCCTATATTGCAATTTATTTACTAGTCTGCCTTCCTGACGTCCAGGTCAGGAAGGCGTTCTAATTTGTATAGGGCCTACTCTGACCTTTGGGAACTTCGATTAATTAATGTGGGCATAGTTTGGCTACGGTCCCCACAATCTTGGTTTGAACGTTAATGGCTTCTGTAGCAAAATGTAAAGCCGATGCTGAGGTCATTGGTTGGAAAAACGCCTAAATCCCCGATCGAAAACTTGCGGCGGAAATTATAGTCCAATATTATTCAGAGCCTCTTCGTTTGCAAAACCTGCTAAAGGCGGAGAGAAGGTTTAACAATAATGTGCGGATTGTTTGAGTCCATACCAGTTCTGACATACAATGATTATGTAAAACCTTATTTCGTAAATTACAGTAAACTCCGGCTAAACCAACATCGTATAAACCGTCATATCGCTTAAATCGGCCATCTGACGAAAGTCCCGATTGTTTGTAATGTATTTCCATTGACATTTTCATTTCTAAGTCGGCCTTTGTAAGCCGCCATTTCGCCTATGTCGGCGTGTTACTTTCAGTCCCATTTCCTCAAAACCACAAAAATTCCTCTGTATAAGTCGGCATCGTGCTCAGCGGTTTGCAAGAAGTGTCGAGTGAAAAGTCCCGCACCATGCTGACTGCATCTGTTTATCAATGACACGGCCGTTGATTACTGCATTGTGTACACTAATCGCACGTGTACACGGTTTCATGCACAGTCTGTACATTGTGTGCATCGTTCGCTTACACGTGTGATTTCACTCTTGATTATCAGTCAAAAAAGTACAAGTAACTGTGTCAGGTTTTTTTGTTTCCGATGAAAAGAAGAAGTGTGCAAGCCCTCTGTCGTTATAAGGCATGATCATAAAAGGACACGCTTCAAAAGTGATGCCCATATCCTATTCGTTTTTGAAAATCATTGAAGTTGATGGAATTAAACAACAGTGATTTGTAATTACATTATGTGGCTTGTTTTTGTTTTGAGTGGTCGGACACAACCCGAACACTCTTTGGATCTGTTACAATAAATCTTCTTCTTTTTTTCCGGACAATACTTCTCCGCGGGTTTTCTCCTAAACGATATGCGGTATGAACTTGTAACTTTCAATATATAACGACCCTCATCCGAAGTTGTGCATATTACTCTGACGTCATGATGACGTCATCGGGTGTCAAATTACAAGCGATTTTAGCTGGAAAAGGGTCAAATTACCTTCACCCATAACTCTTGAACAAAATAATCAGTGATGTTTATATTCTGTAATAAGATAGACCATGAATTGATGAACATTTCTTTTCGTGTACGTGAACTCACTTGACCCCTTCTCCCGGGTCAACCGGAAGGTTAAAGTTAGGTGAATTCAAAATGAAGACTTTAGCCTGAAATCAAAACAAAGCAAAATTTCTTCCATACAGTTTACGGTATGATCATAAAACCTAGTGTGAATTTGTACCACGTTACGAAGATACTATAGATTTTGTTACGTCATCATGACGTCATGAGGTATCAAATTACAAGTGATTTAAGGGCAAATTTTGACGAAATAGTTTGCGCTATATCTTTTGAACTAAATACAGTATCGTGTTCGTTTTTTCGTGAGGTTGTAGACTATGCTGTGAGAAACAATTCTTGTCCCCGGACACAAAACCGCTTGACCTTCACTTCCTGTGTTACCGGAAGGGCAATAAAAACCGAGTATAACTCAAAAGGGGAAGCATTTTACTACACACATATATTATGAAAGTGTTTATTGAGGAATGCCAGACACAAAACAGTGTGATGACGTCATCTTTCGAAAGGGCGCCCCTAGCGGCATATTAAATAGTGTTTGCTTTCTTTAATTTGAAAACCATCCATTAAGATTTCACAAAATCGCCCCTTGATATTCTTTGATTAACCACAGATAATTTGGCAAGGTTTCAAATTCATGACGTCATGAGACCGGAAGTTACTTCTATGAGAATTTGAGAACAATAATATTTTTAATTGAATTATATCATTTGATTCATGTCGTATATCTTCGTAGCCCAAATAACGATATCCCTTACAATGTTTACCTTTTGCTTCCAAATACTGTGACGTCATCAAACCGGAGTTAGGTGTTATGAATGCATACAGTTATATTTTCCATATTTTCATACGTTATTTAACTTCACAACGAACATTTATCCACTCCGAACTAAATCAGTATTCACTTCCCGTTTTTGAATAATGACGTAATCAAGCCAGAAATAACGTGTATGTGTACATAGAATGTTTACTAAAATTTATCACACCGTTAAAGATGCATTTTTTTAAACAAAATAATTGATTGTACTGGAAAAGATTTAATTTCGTGATCCTTGTTCTTACATAAACATATTTATAACTCAACTCGGCAGTGTTTAATGAACAATTGCCTGCCCGACCACTCTGCGTTTGTAACAACAAACGCGAACCTCTAGTTTGTTGTTGTTGTTGAAAACTTGGCATCTGGCTAGTATGGCTGTCTAATGATGTGTCCAATTATAAACAGATTACAAAAATTGCGATGAAGCCATTGTCACTTCATCTCTCCTACGTCGCTGAAGATGTGTATAATGCATCTTTTTTTCCAGTCTAGGTTTTAGTGTAGATCACACATGAACAGCCACCTTTGGAAAATAAGACGTCTCTTTTTGCCGTTTTCTCCTTGGTGAAACAACCTTAAAATTTTACCCTTAGCTACATATTTGGCACACAGCCAAGGCACTCTGTCTATAGGTTTGGAAACATTGCACTATACAGACAGAGTTTACCACAGTGTTTTTGTTACGAGTGCAACATTCATGGTACAGATTTAGACAATTTCGGTGTTCCCAAACAACTGATGGTTTCAATTTCACAATTATGAAACTGGCTGACCTCTATTCGAATACATTTGTAAAAACAAAGATGCTGGGCCTGTCTTTCATATTGCTTGGTATCTGCTTGATGGTATATTTGATAACGTTCAGTGTAAACAAGTTATACGCAAACTGTAACGCCAACAATTACAATTCTGTGTGCAATGTTTTGCTTTTAGTAGAAGCGCAAGTAGCGTAATGTAACAAAAAGATGAGATAAAAAAAATTGGTGTCGGGAATATTAGTTTCAAAAACTTTTTTTCAGTCACTGGTTTTCTGTTTGTCTTATTTTAAGGAAGCGTAGAAGGGCCAAAGGAATTTCAGAAAAATTTAGTTTCTATCTCGCCGCGGCGAATTACTATCTCGCCGCGGCAAGATACTATCTCGCCGCGGCGAGAAAGTAATTCGCCGCGGTGAGATAGTGATTCGCCGCGGCGAGAAAGTAACTCGCTGCGGCGAGCTAGTGATTCGCCGCAGCGAGATAGTGATTCGCCGCGGCGAGATAGGAACTGAATTTGTCTCAATTTTATTGGCCCTTCTACGCTTCCGAATTATTTTATGTTTTCCCCAGCTTTAAAAAAAAAAAACACAAGAAGACCCCCTTCTTTAAAAAAAAAAAAATGCGTTCATGTTGTCTTTTCTTGTCTTACGAAAAACCTTCTCAAAATAATGTCAACAACCATTTTGACGTCAAAAAAGTTTTATGACGTTCCTGCTGTAGTTTTGTTCATATAAATACTTACAATCGCTATATTTAAAAGGAAACCTCCGGTATCTTTTTTTTCTCGACACTCAGCACGTTCCCTTCGCAGAGGTGGAAAGTACATGCGTGAAAGATGCAACAGTGGTAGACTGGTTCCCGCATGGCGCTATATAAAGATAATAGCCAAGGGAACAGTCTGCCTATAGGCCTACATGAATTGAGTAGTGTTTAATGATCGAATTTGGACATCGTAATAATGACAACAAATCGATGGAGAAAGCAAATTTCTTGGAGATAATTTACAGAACTTTATCTCTCTTTTCTGTGTAACCTTTTTTTTTCCGTTTTCATGTTTATTTCGAGGTCGTACCGCTCGTACGCGAAGCGAAACAGCGCAGTATATAATACGAATTTTCCGCCGCCATGGTGCACATGGCAGCCCATGTATGCAGTGGCGTAGCCACCGGGGGGCGTGGGGGGCGACCGCCCCCCCCCCCCCCATGAAACCTTGTCGTCCCCCCCCCCCCCCCCCCCCCCCCCCACTGAGATTTTGAGTTTCTAAAAAAATTATCATTGATCTAAATCTAAATAGTCGCGAATGATCCACATGATGACCACTGAGAAACGACCCTTCGACCAGCGACCGCGGACCAGTAAGCTGACAACCGGCCTGACATAGCGCATATCAGGCGAATAGGCCAAGCACAAACTTTTTCCTCCATTCATATAAGCTAAATAATAATAATAGACCAATTAAAATTCCGTGAAATCAGTCGCGTAGCCACGGCAGGGCGTGGGGGGCGATAGCCCCCAGCCCCCGAAACCTTGTCGCCCCCCCCCCCCCCCCCCCCCCACTGAATTTGTACACTATCCTGTAATATAGTGTGAGCCCCACCCCCTCCCTCCCTCCCCCACTTATTGATTTTACGAATTTAAGTGTCCGGGAAAAAAACCCCAAAAAACACCTGTCTACATTTGCATCTGCTGATTAAAAACACCTGCAAAAATTCCTGGATCCGCCCCTGTGTAGAGGCGAGATCAGGATTTGTCCCCTTCAGTTTCAAACCAAAGAAGCTTCAGTCTGTATTCATTAATACGACAATTTTATTAATTATCAATTGAAATAGTTCGTCTTATCTTGTATCCCGAAATAGTTGTGAGACATCTAGTGAAGTAATTCTCACCAAATACACCGTATTTATCACACTAGGATTTGCACATTGCACTCATACCTTGCTTAAGTTTCAAAATTCCACATTTGGATCTGACTGACTTAGCTATAGGTAGTTTTGTAATGTTTTATTGTGCTTTTTTTGTCCCTCTTAGCCGCAACACAGACCAGTCAGGCACCACAAGTGGCATGAGCCATACTGCTGGCGATTTCTCATCTTGGGATGGGGAGCCGGACGGAGACTCCGATTCGGACGACGACAGCTCACAGACAGTACAAGAGGATGCGCTTTTCAATCCCCGGCTGAGCGAGTCGCCCATCAAGGCCTTCCGACCAATCAGCAAGCAGCCTATGAACCTCATTGACTTCAAGAATCAGTTCAACAGTACCGGGAAGACCGCACGGACTGGCGTAACCTCACGATCCACTAGTGGGAAAAGGGGGAGGCGTGGCCAGGGGAAGGGTCGCAGAGGGGGAAAACGGAAACAAAGAAAGAAAAGGGGGCGATCTTTCGAAAAGTAATGGTCCTTCGTTGTTTCGGAAGATTTTGTATATTTTAATTTCTAAGGTTTGTAAGAAAATCTTATTAATTCATGTGAGCTCTGCATGATCTAACTTCAGTGTAGGATGGACCTGCTACCACACACACAGAGGCGACGCTGCCCAGAAGTGGGATCCTTACAAAGTGGCGTCGTAGACAGGGTTGAGTACAATTTACCACTAGGCGATGTCTACTCCTAGCCTCTTATCATTACTTTTGTTTACAAATAATATTGGATGCATTCAGATTGGTGAAAAAGTAACGATAAAATTCGGTAATGTGGGAAAAATAACATAAGGGCCAGAGTCCCTGAATTGTAGTTAGAAATCGCGCCGCCTGGCACCAAGGATGCCCAGTATCCAGGCACATGATCAGTGTACTCTCACGGAGGTCCTCAGTTAAGGCGAATTCATTGTACCACCTACTATTTAGGACAACCTACTTGGTGTAATATTTTTTTGTTCTGCACAAGATAGCACAATTCCTTCGCCATAACTTGAAGGGGGTTGGGCTCCGTGAAAGTAGAGTGATCACTTGCTTCAGAGAAATGAAGACATGCATAGGCTTTTTGCCTTTAGAAAGGAATTACGTTTGCATTAATACAGAATGGTGTGTAGATCGAGTACGGGCAAGGAATGTTCACATACATCCTCCAATCCCCAGGATGTCTGTAATGGTATCGATACCGATCATTTCCAAACTTTTTTTTACAAAGCTTGCTTTGTACTAGAAAAACAAAGTATAGTGGTAGTAAATGAATGTTCTATTGAGTATTGGTAGTAATGGTATAATCGAATATACTTCTGGCCAAAAAGCCCCGAGTTGTTTGGGGTTGTCAATCTTTCTTCTTCTTTTTAAATAAAGATGTAGTCAAAGTGTTATGACAATGTTCACAATGATATAAGCATGCTTTGTTCTATAAAATTAAATGCACAGAAGTGGTAAAAGGATCCCTGTTTAAATTCTCCATTGATATGTGATTTCATATGCGGCAGTTGTGGGTCTATTGCCAGGGGTTGATTGTGGGCACCAAACCTCGTTCCAATCGTGTCGAGAAGTGGTCCCACCACTACCTGCTCGCACCCTGGTACTCGATCATTTGCATGTTCAAAAATGTTTGCTGGTACCCTCGCTGTGCAAACAGGACGCTTGGAAGGGCTGATCTCTTTGAGCTCTCATTGGATAGATTTGCGTGACCTGTGACGTAGCACGCAACACTCACACACTCGCTGCTGCTGTTTATCATATGATACGTAGCGCTGCATCACTTGAAAATAGCATGTACATGTACGTTTTTAACCTGACGTATGCGCTATGCATGGTTTACTATAGGCACAGACCGAGCGCCACCCAGACTTGGGCCAAGTCTACCTTTCCCAGCGCCCTGTTTGCAGGGCGGGGGGTACGAGCGAAATGCAAATTAGGTACGGAATAATCTGGTGCCTGGCTGTACTTTAAATCAGTGTTTATTTTTGCATGAATTCGTCGCGGGGGTGAGATCCAAAAATATACATTAAACTCTGGCTAAACCAGCACTCTCAGGACCCGAGAATTTGTGACGACTTACGCGAATGCCGATATATGATATAAGTCGTCATTTTGCCGACTTACATGAATGTCTTTTGCACACATGATTCATGGCACTAATTGGCTTCGATTTACCCTTGATTATCTCCTTAATGCTTGAGTTGAATCCAGCAAATTGATCCTCGAATTGTATCATCACGTTTGGGGTATTGATAGTGGAGACCACGATACACAGGTGTACGTGCACAGTAACGAATTAAATGCGTGCGGGGCTATAGTAAGCCCCAGGGACGTCGTTGGTGGGCATCTGTATTTTGATCCGGAACCACCTTCAAATGTTGTTTACTTGTGAATGCACTTTAAGGCGGAACAATCCAAGCGGTATATGATTTTAGTCCCGGACTAATACTTTGAGCAAAATTTCTTTCATTAAACTGGTAGGTTTCTGCCATTAAATCGGTAGGTTTCTGTCATTTAATCGGTAGGTTTCTGTCATTAAATCGGTGGATTAACCATTGAAGGTATAGTTGCAAAATAGTTGCCCGTGCTCACACGTTTTTATTGTTCATTGTTCATTTATTTTTTACCTGCATTAGCAACGGAATCCGATAACGAGACCCCCAACAGGTTTAGTTGCTATGCAGCCTGGCAAAGAGTTTGAGCACTTTTGTTGCTGAAACGGGGGGGGGGGAATGAGTTTTGAACAGTCACTAGCGGGAACTTTTTAACAAGTTAAGTCCTATATGGGAACGCTGCTGCTGTTGAAAGAGTCTATGAATCATAAAAGTGAACCGTAGGCTGGGGCGTATATTGTATGCTATAACTATACCGCCGCACGGGGGTTGAGTCCGAACCTTCACGTTCCCGCTTGGTAAGGGAAAAGGCCGACTTGACGTACGAGTCACAGAGGATAGGCGCGACTCCGCACGATATGGTGCATATTTCATACGTTTACAATGATCTGCTTTCATAAAACATGAAAAGTCCACTTCGGAGACGAAACCCCCTGAAAGTCATGTCTGACTTTAGCATCTGTGACGTTACCTGTTTGTTACGAATTCCTTGGCAGGGTCAAAGTGAGGTACATTAGTAACAAAAATGCTAAGGATCGTTACACAGTGGACAAAAGCACCATGTTTTCACCAAAGCATCTCCATGGTATACCTTTTCGAAAAAAAGACGGGCGCAAAAAATTGGATGATGGGAAGGGCATGTATGACGTCATTGTGACGTCATCAGCTAATTATTACATGAACAAATATAAATTGATAATAATCTTCAGAACTACAAGCATCGCAGCAACAAATGTGGTATTAAATTAAAGGGGACAACAAGATCTTTCATTTGAGTGGTATGGCATTGGGATGGAATATAGTTAAGGGTGATTTTGTTGGTCAGAAAACCTGTTTTTCGGCTAAAATCATGGATTTGGGGTAGTCACTTTGACACCTTGTTTGAACATGCAAACAGTATGTGGTATTGTGAGATGTTGTTAAGTCAGAGAGAAAGGTTCAAATTCTATGCCAAAAGAGTATTTGTAATTGATTATTAGTATCTTAAAATGTTTAAACTTGTTTCAAAGATAGGCGGAAAGTGAGGTACCTTAGTGAAAAAATCGTGACACGGTTAGACAAAAGCACCTTTTTCACACCAAAGCATCCCCATGTTTTACCTTTTCGAAAAAAAGTAGGATGCGAAAAATTGGATGATGGGAAGGGCCATTTATGACGTCATTATGATGTCATCGGCTAATTATTACACACTGATACATTACAATTGAGAAATTAGTTAGGAATAAGCCATTGGCCGTTTTTTACCTTTAATATACGTTTCTGAGATCAAGGAAATCAATGCAGTTGCCAATTTTGTTCTTAGACTATCTTTAAAAGATTTAAATACAAATAGTTTGATAAAATGAGGGATGTTTCCTAATTTAACATATTAAATTAAACACGTGTGTACATGTACATTACACCCTCGCTCCTATCCCCTGTTGTGATCAATGATTATGTCTTATGTCATGATTACCTCATAAATGATTACCTCAAGAATGATGCCACAAGGCATTATTTTCCACAAAAGTTTCTATATACTGTCCCTTCGGCTCCGTATTCTACATCAACTGGCAATGCATTTATTGCCCTAAACCCTTCAACATTTGCCAGAAATTGAGCATATACTTCTCCGGCGTTACAATTTAAACCTTTTTGTGGACAACGTAGTGTTTCTGGTGTAGTTTGCATGCAGATAATGCAAGCAGTCCAATTATTTGTTATGTTTTCCCCAGCTTTAAAAACAAAACACAAGTAGACCCCCTTCTTTAAAAAAAAAATGCGTTCATGTTGTCTTTTCTTGTCTTACGAAAACCTTCTCAAAATAATGTCAACAACCGTTTTGACGTCAGAAAAGTTTATGACGTTTCTGCTGTAGTTTTATTTATATATTAAATAATAGTACTTACAATCGCTATATTTAAAAGGAAACCTCCGGTATTTTTTTTCTTCTCGACACTCGGCACGTTCCTTTCGCGGTGGTGGAAAGTACATGCGTCAGACATGCAACAATGGTAGACTGGTTCCCGCATGGCGCTATGAGTAAGGGAATAATTGTGTGCTCCGGAGGTTTTTATCACTCGTTTAATACCGCTTAGAGTCTGGGTGCTGATAATTACCCGAGCCGGAGGCGAGGGTAATTATCAGCACCCAGACTCTAAGCGGTATTAAACAGAGTGATAAATACCGACCGAGCACATATTTATTCCCATTCATAAATACCTTATCCGTAAAGAAATATCAAATAATTCGTTCAAAAAATCCCGATTTTGTTCAACAAGTTCACTTCATGCTATTTGAAACATCCCTCTAGCAAAATAATGGAGTGTTCAGCTGGCGAGTAAGATGTAAACAACCCTTTTATGGAGATTGACGCGCGCGTAACATGTTCTGCGCGATGTCACGCAGAACGCACCTGGCGCGTTGCGTTTTGAATTTAGAACTTTAAAATTCTGACTCGCTTGTAGTGTTGCGCATGCCTACGTGAGGATTGTGAACGTTCAACCAATGAAACGGTAAGAGGCACTGGATTTTTAGGAGTCCACATTTTATTGTGACACTAGAAAAGTGTTTAAGACCAGCTAGCCATGTCTTTATCATCCGTTTAAGACCGGCCACGTGACGGGCTCTCGACCAATAGGAATAGCTAAACTGTCTGAGGTATTTATGAATGGTGTTTAATGATCGAATTGAGTAGTGTTTAATGATCGAATTTTGACATCGTAATAATGACAACAAATCGATGGAGAAAGTTAATTTCTGGGAGATAATTTACAGAACTTTATTTCTCTTTTCTGTGTAACCTTTTTTGTAAGTTTTCATGTTTATTTCGAGTTCGTACCGCTCGTACGTGAAGCGAAACAGCGCAGTATAAAGCCCGGTTCATACTCGGCGCGAAAGCGAAAGCGAACGCGAATTTGTGACGTCATGGCAAGTATTCACGCTGCGAATTCGTAAAAGTTGAACATATTTCAACTCGGGCGAATTTCGCAGCGAATGTTTCATGACGTCAAATTCGCTTCGCATTCGCTTTCGCATGAAGTATGAACCGGGCTTTATACGAATTTTCCGCCGCCGAGCGATGCGGACATGCGCGTGGTGTGATGTGGTGCATGCACATGGCAGCCTATGCACGCTGATACCGCGCGTGATGATATGATACGGACCGTGCATACTAGCAAGTGTCCATGAAGCCATTGTCACTTCATCTCTCCTACGTTGCTGAAGTTGTGTATAATGCAACTTTTTTCCAGTCTAGGTTTCAGTGTAGATCACACATGAACAGTCTCCTTTGGAAAATATGACGTCTCTTTTTGCCGTTTTCTCCTTGGTGAAAAGGACCTGGCATGGTTTTGCCACTTAATCAGTCTTGCTTTTTGTCTTTAGCGTCATTTTTGTTTCCAAACTTTCAACTTTAATTGACCAAAAAATTATCCTTACAAACCCATTTACATTGTACTAACAAATCAACCATACCCGAGCCTACCCGACCTGACCCTTCTTCATCTAACTAGAAACAACTAAACCCAAAACAAGATATGAGAAAAGCCAAGACACGAGCAAGGTGTTTTTGCGGTTGTGAATGGATATTGGGAAAAACGGTTCAAAGTGACCACCTTAACATTTTACCCTGAACTATATTTGGCACACAGCCAAGGCAAGCTATCTATAGCTTTGGAAACATTGCACTATACGTGTATTTACAGACAGAGTTTACCACAGTGTTTTTTTTCAACATTAATGGTACAGATTTAGACAACTTCAGCGTTCCCAAACAACAGACTGATGGTTTCAATTTCACAATTATGAAACTGGCTGACCTCTGTTCGAAAATACTTGTATAAACAAAGATGCTGGTCCTGTCTTTCATA